CAGCTGATATGAATACCATGAATCACTGCAATGCAACAGGGAAGAGTGTATGTGTATGTACCAGTGTGCGTGTGTGCGTGTGTGCGTGTGCGTGTGTGTGTGTGGACTAGGCACCATGTGCCAAGTGAGTGTGCAAGCCCTTTGTATTCAAGAGAAAAGAACAAAGTTCAGCTACTGTCCACAGTCATTCAGTAGAAAAGAGGCCACAAGCTAATAAAATTATCTTCTGAGAGCGATTTAAATTATCTGACAAGAAAGACACCTCTATATATAAAAAATAGTAGTACAGCTACAGCATGAGTCTAGGTTGAATAATGAGGCACGTGTGTGAATATAGTGTAATTTTGGGCTCAGGCCAACCAATCTGATGGACAAAGTCAAAGCAGGAAGCAAGCAGTGATCTCTGCATTCAAACTCTTCCTGCCGTCATAAACACTACTAATCAGAAAATATAAGCACATCTATCACTTGGCAGAAATTACATGCTGGATCTGCACTGTTTAGGTGGGATTCAGTGCTCCCCGTAAATGTCCACCCATGCAGAATTGTTTGCGTTACTCCATGATGTCAGTTTCAAAGGGAACCAGGTGGTAGTAGGACAGGTTAGTGACGTAAGCTTCAGGATCATCGTCACTCAGGTCTTGATCTACAGGATCCAAAGATTCTCTCCCATCCTCATCATACCTGCATATTTAGAGATAATACAACCATTTTAATACATGAAATGATAGATGAAAAAAATCGTAAGAAACAATATAACTCCAAAACAAGCTGCCTGCTGGGACAGTATATTAAGGCATCATAAGCATACTTCTATCATAAAGGAAGCATGTTTGCTTTTTAAGCTGTAACAGGACTTCACAGTACCATACATTCATCCTTCTGTGTGAAGGTACCATACAGGGAAACACACAATATCAACAAAAAATCCTTCCTTATATCCCAAGGAAGAGAGAAGGATTGTAAATTAACTAAACAACAGTTTGTCTTGTCTTTGTAATGCTTTAAAGGTGCCATAGAATGCATTGATACAATATTTTAAATTGTTCTCTGATATCTACATAGAAGGTATGTGGCTTAGGTAAGGGCAAAAAATCTCCAGAAACGGTTTTACATGTCCATTTACAACCCAAGGATTTGTCCCTAGAATGAAATGGTCTCAATGTTGAGCTCTGCTCTGATTGGCTGTTTCACAGTGCGGCTCATTTAGTAGCTCACACAGCAGGAAGGAAACACAGGGAAAATATATATTTCAGTACTGTCTCTCGCAGTTATATCGTTGGGTAATTATACTGTATATAAAATGCGGGCATCAGGGAGCTGCTATTAAAGGGGTCATATGATGCGATTTCATTTTTTCCTTTCTCTTTGGAGTGTTACAAGCTCTTGGTGCATAAAGAAGATCTGTAAAGTTGCAAAGACTAAAGTCTCAAATCCAAAGAGATATACTTTATAAAAGTTAAGAGTCAACCACGCCTA